GTGGCTCAAGTGGTAGAGCGCTAGCCTTGAGCTGAAGAGCTGAGGGACAGTGCCCAGGCCCAGAGTCCAGTCCCCACAACCAGACCAAAAAAACAAAAATTGTGCCTGTCCCGGGCTTGAACTCAGGGCCTGGGTGCTGTTCTGAGCTGTTTTCTATCAAGGCTAATACTCTACCACTTGAGACACAGTCTTACTTCTGGCTTTTTGGTGGTGAGTTGGAGGTAAAAGTCTTTCCTTCCTGGGCTGGCTTTGAACTAAAATCTTCAGATCTCAGCCTCCTGAGTAACTAGGATTACAGGTATGAGCCACTGGCATCCAGCCTCTCTCTTGCTTCTTTAATTGCTTGCCTGTGTGTGCATGCACGCGTGGGGTGGGGTGTGTGTGTGTGTGTGTGTATGTGATCTATTCTAGGCAGGCCCCAAACTTCCAGTCCTCTTCCCTTTGGTTTATAAATGCTATGATTACAGGAATTTATCATGATGCCCAATCTGAAAGATTAAAAAAAAAATCACACTGGGATCCTAGTTACTCAAGAGGTTGAGCTCCAGAGGATCCTGGCTTAAAGCTGGCCCAGAGTGGAACAGTCTGTGAGACCCTATTTCCAAAATAACTGGCAAAAAGCTGGACTGGAGGTTTGACTTAAGTGACAGTGCCTCAGCCATGAGCAAACATGCAGAGTGAGAGTCCTGAGGCATTGAGTTCAAACCCCATTACTGGTACCAGAAAGAGGGGGAAAGGGAGGGAAGAGAGAGAGAGGGAGAGGGAGGGGAAAATGGAAGAAGGGAAGGAGGGAGAAAATTGCAAGATTGAGTGTCCCTGAGTGAATTAGAAAAAAGAAGGGAAATATGAGTAACCTTTTTGTGGCATTCAGGAAAACACAGCGATTGAGGTAGCACAGCCTGTAGCCCTGGCAGATATGCTTGAAATCCTATCTGAAAAAATAACTGAAGTGTGGAGGTGCTTATATCTCAAGCCTGTAATCTTAGCTACTCAAGAGGCTGAGATCTCAGTATCAAGGTTCAAAGCCAATGTGGACAGGAAAGTCCATGAGACTCTTATCTCCAATTAACCCCCCCCACACACACCCTGGCAGTGGAGCTGTGGCTCAAGTGGTAGAGCACCAGCTTTGAGCAACAAAGCTTAGATACAACACCCAGGCGGCCCTGAGTTTAAGCTCCAGGACTGGTGATTCCTTGAGGGAAAAAGCTAAGTGAGAGGCCCTGAGTTTAAGTCCCAATATTGGCATTAAAGAAATATTCCTCTTCTAATGCCAATTGCAGTTATTGGTCAGAGAGCATAGCATTCTTCCCTCTTCACACTGTTCTCCTTATCATTAGCATCTTAGGTTAAATGAATCAATACTGGCTACAGTGAGCTAGACCGAAGTCTGTGGTTTACAAGGTTCTGCCTCCTAGGTATGCTGGGACTACAAGTGTAGTCACTGAATGACCAAACGTTCACTTTTTTTTTTTTGTTGGTCATGGGGCTTGAACTCTGGGCCTGAATGAAGGCTGTCCTTCAGCTCTTCAGCTCAAGGCTAAGGATCTACCATTTGAGCCATTGCGCCACTTTCGGTTTTCTGAGTGGTTTATTGGCGATAAGAGTCTCACGGACTTTCCTGCCTGGGCTGGCTTTGACTAAGATCCTTAGATCTCAGCTTCTGAATAACTAGGATTACAGGTGTGAGCCTCCGGCGCCTAGCCACCTGTTTTTTTCTTTTTTCTTTTTTAGTCAGTAGTAGGGCTTGAACTCTGGGCCTGGGCACTGACCCTCAACTCTTCAGCTCAAAGCAAGTGCTCTACCACTTGAGCCACAGAGCCACTTCTGGTTTTCTGGTGGTTTATTGGAGATAAGAGTCTCTCGAGTGGTACTGGGGCTCAAGTGGTAGAGTGCTATCTTGAGCTGAAGAGCTCGGGGACAGTGTCTAGGCCCAGAATTCAAGCCCCACAACCGACAAAAAACATACAAAAACAAAAACCCAAAGAGTCTCATGGACTTTCCTGTCCAGGCTGGCTTTGAACCATGATCCTCAGATCTTAGCTTCCTGAGTAGCTAGGATTATAGGTGTGGGACACCAGTGCCTGGTTTAAGGTTCACTTTTTGTGACATAATTTCTATAGATTCTGACAGATTTATACTGTCACATATCCACTATTACTAAGATCCTGCTGTGTGCAGCCTCCTGCGGATCAGAGGTGTGCATCACCACACTCAGATTACTTGTTGAGGTGAGAGTCTTGCTAACCTTTTAAGTGGGCTGGTCTTGAACCATGATCCTCTCATATAATCCCAAGTAGCTGAGATTTCAGGCTTGAGCCACCGAACCTGGCCCAATATTGATCATCTTTTCACATGCATGTCTGCTGTGTGTATACATTTGGTACAATGTCTGTTCCTATCTTTTGCCCATTTTGGGGGGGGGGTCCAGTCGTGGGGCCTGAACTCTGGGCCTGGGAACTGTCCCTCAGCTCTTCAGCTCAAGGCTAGCACTCTACCACTTGAGCCACAGTGCCACTTCTGGCTTTTTTCTTTCTGCTTATGTGGTGCTGAGGAATCGAACCCAGGGCCTCATGCATGCAAGGCAAGCGCTCTACCACTGAGCCACCTTCCCAGCCCCTCTTTTGTCCATTTTAATGTAGTTGTTTGATTTCTTTCTGTTGAGTATTGAGTTCTTTGTATACTTTGGACAAAATTTCTTTTCTTCTTCTGTGTGTGTGTGTGTGTGTGTGTGTGTGTGTGTGTGTGTGTTCTGGGGTTTAAATTCAGGGCCTGGGTGCAGTCCCTGTGCTTTCTTTGCTCAAGGCTATTGCTCTTCCAATTGAGCCACATCTCCACCTCTGACTTTGTTGGTAGTTAATTGGAGATAAGATTCTTATGGACTTTCCTATGCCTGACTGGCCTTAGGAAACAAGTGTTTTGAAAATAAAAATCCTCCAAGATTATTTCCTCGCAGATTTTATTTTTTTTCTTCTTTATATTCATTCTATATTATATTCTCCACATTCGCCTTTTTTCTTCTTTATAGTCATCCCACATCTCCCAGATCTGTTTGTCTAATTCCAGGTGAGAGCAGATACAAAAGGTGTCTTAGCCCCCATTCCTGAGGGGTTGTTGTTTGTTGTTTGTTTGTGGAAATTGGCTATGGCTGGATGGGGTGGTGGCTTCAGGCTGCTGGAAGGGCATCTAGGAAGTGAAATCTTGTTTTCCAGGCTCCATAAGTACAGGAAGACAAAGTAGAAGGGGTGGGAATGGGGCAAACCCGCTATATAAACCCAGGGGCTGGGCCCACGGAATGGGTGGGGGCTGATGATATGATGTGGAACGTGTAGGCAAAAATACTTTAATCAGTTCAAAATGGAATAAAATGAAAAGCCAAATTTCCCACTCCCTGTGCTGCTCCTCAGAACTCTTTCCACTTTTAGACATCATCTTTCCAAATAATGTTCTTCTCTGTAGCTTTTATAGAAAATCTGTTTGTTGACTTAGTAACTCAAGAGACCATCCACAGATACCTCCTCATGTAAACAAGGGATGTATTCATGTGTTTTATTGAGAGAGGGAGTCTCCCTATGTTGCCCAGGCTGACCTTGAACTCCTGAACTCAACTGACTCTAGCCCCCAGCCTCCCAAGTAACTGGGACTGCAGGTATGAGCCACCATGCCCAGCTAAGCAAGGCATTTAAGTCACCTCCTCCAGGTCTACATCATTGGCTTTATTGCTAACTTAATATTATAGTCTTGTGTTGTCGTTATTTATAGTTCTAAACAATCTATATTTAAATGTTAGTTCCTTACCCATCAACTTCAGAATGTTTTTAGTTCCAACGGCATATAAGAAAAATTAGTCTCTCTCGGTGCCTGCCACCTCCTTTTCCACCTTCTAGTTTCTCTTGATTGCTCTTGACATTTCCATTGCCAAAGTTTGTAACATTTGCATTTTGTTCTGGAATTATAATGAAAGCCTCTATGCTTTATCTTCAGGTTGGTTCTGAAAGTTGAAAATCAACCAATGCTGCATTTATATAAACCCTATTGACTGTAGAGCTGAGTAATGAGAGGCTTCTTAGAGGAAGAGATGAGCTATGACTCTGTACTCCATGCTGCTCGCAGGAGAGCATTGGCCCGTCCAAAGTCAAGGTCAAATGAATTGTCTCTTCATACTCTCCACTGATGGCTCAAAACAATCCTGTGTTGCTTCGTATTTGGTTCCTGGAATAGATTGTGTTGTTTCTGGTTTTCTAATTGCCTTTCTTATTTCTTTCTGAGAGAAGAAACAGATGTCAACTCATTACATCATCAGAAAGCCCACTTTCCACATTCACAGTACCTATCTCTGGCCTGGGTCATAGCTGAGATGTGTTGTTGGGATGTATTCAGTTTCTTCCTCCCTCTTCCGCCCCCCTCCCCCCTGCCCCGCCCTTGCTGGGGTTGTACCCAGGGCCTGCACATGCTAGGTGTGTATTCTGCCACTAAGCCATACCCGCAGCCCCTCCTCTTCTTTATTTTTAATTGTCATTATTAAGGTGGTATACAGAGGGGTTATAGTTTAATAACTCAGGTAATGAGTACATTTCTTTTCTTTTTTGTATGTTTTTTATTGTAAAAATGCTGTACAGAGAGGTTACAGTTACATGAGCAAGGTAATGAGTACATGAATACATTTCTTTGGGACAATGTCAGTCCTTCCTTCACTCTCTCCCAGTTTTTACTTCCCAGCCCCTCCCCCCCTTTTGATGAACTGCTTTTTTTCCCCCCACCACTACCTTATTTACAGTTTTTTCTTTGGAGTGATTTTAACCAAGATCATTTACCTTGATGATGGATAATCTAGGGGATAGACAGACAACTGAGATAAAAACTTAAGTCCTATGGGATATATATATATATATATATATATATATATATATGTCTGTCTATCTATCTATATGTATGTATGTATTCCAGCCCTGGGGTTTGAACTTAGGGCCTCCGCAATGTCCCTGAGCTTCTTTTGCTCAAGACTGGTGCTCTAACAATTAAGCCACAGCTCCACTTCTGGCTTTTTGGTAGTTTAGTAGAGATAAGAGTCTCACACACTTTCATGCCTAGACTGGCTTTGAACCTTGGTCCTCAGAGCTCAGCCTCCTGAGTAACTAGGATTACAGGCATGAGCCACCAGTGCCCAGCTTGATCAGTGCTATTAGGAGAGAAGCATTCATCTTTTAGCTTCAGGCCAGGCTTGACCCAGGGACTCAATGATGTCATTAAGAATCCAGGGTCACTATGTATCTTCCTCTGCCCTCAGTGTTGTCCTAATTCCCTGGTTTCTCCTAGTTAGAGGAGCATGATTCTCTCCTGTGGTGGATGGAAGAGAGATCAATTTCACGAATCAACTCAAGAACCCAGGAATTCAAATGAAGGCTTTTTCTAGAAAAACAAAAGAAGAGTGACTGAATTTTGTTAATCCAAACCCCAGATATTCATACTCTTTCCTATTAAATTGCTTTTAATGTTAGCAACTCCTTTTTAATTTTCAAGAAGCATTTCTTGCTTTCTTTTCATAACTGTCGCTTGTCGTGTTGTGAATGTAACAGTCTTAGAGTTTTCCCTTTTTCTAGTTGTCTTCTGTTCCTTGAGTGATATTTCCTCTGGAATCAGTTTGTTCACCTCTCGGTTTCAGCACATTGCAGGGTTGAGCCATGCAGATCCCGGCCAGGCTCAGGAAACAGGCAGCCTTTGTCCGCATTCCATGCTCGACCCCTGACTAGCTATGCAAACCTCACCCAGTGACTTTGCTTCCCTGTGACTCAAGCTTCCTGTGACTGCAGATAACGACTGCAGCCAGCCCAGAGGCTGCAGGGTAAGGCAGTGAGTGTCAGATGCCCCAATCACTGCCAGGCCCACACTGTGCCCTCACCAGTCCGTCTCTATTCCAGTGCTGAGGGTAAAATCCAGGCCTCCTGTGTGCTAAGCAAACACTCTACCACTGCCCTACCATTGCCCTTCCAGCTCTTTTGTTTTTAGTTTTATTTGTTTCTTCCTTGGGTGGTACTGGGATTTGAACTCAGGGACTCACACTTGCTAGGGCAGGTGCTCTACGGCTGAGCCACACTCTTAGCCCTTTTTGCTTTGAAATAGGTTCTCTCTCTCTCTCTCTCTCTCTCTCTCTCTCCTGGATGTGTGCCTGAACCTTCATCCTCTTATTTTAGGCTTCCTGTTGTAGCTGGCATGACAGGTGGACACCACCATACCCAGCTTCTCCCATTGAGATAAAGTCTTGCAAATGTGTTCGCTTTGGCTTGTCTGATCCCTTTGATCAAAGCCTTTCATGTATCAGGGGTGATGGGAACATGCCGCTGTGCCCTGCTATTGGCTGAGAAGGAGTCTCTTGAACTTTTTTTTTTTCATTTGTTCTTTTTTTTTTTTTTTTGGGTCCGGTCATGGGGCCTGAACTCTGGGCCTGGGTGCTGTCCCTCAGCTCTTCAGCTCAAGGCTAGCGCTCTACCACTTGAGCCACA